TCGAAATGGATTTAAAGCGGTAGTGATCCCATATCGTGTAAAACATCTTAAATCATTACATTTTAAGAGTATTCTTACACAACTAACACTACTCTAAGTTCTAAACTAGTAGAAAAAAAAATCAAAAACTCCATACAAAAGTGTTCGGGATGTTAGATCTCCAGAACTCGCTTGATAAATATCTTTATTTCATGGACCCATCAGTTGACCTTGAGATCACATTTCCAACCAGGAAAATCCTTGACTGTGATTGGTTATTGTGTCATTTTAGTGTGCTATTCTTGTGACTGTCTCAAGGACGTCTGCTTAGAGTATAAATAAACGCAATTTGAGTTCCTGGATTGATTGTGTGCTAGCTGGGTGTTTGTAGAATACAATTTCTACACTGTATCAAGACTTCTTGCTGATATAATTTGGTCAAGGGATCACAGTAGCCTACCTGGATTCTGGTTCATTGTTTTGTTCTTGTTATTCGACTAAGGTGAACTCGTAATAGTTTTAAGCATACCTAGAGACGAACGCACAATGGAGCATAAGCCGCCCACCAATTTGCTCCAACCAACTCTGTCCTGGGATTCCCTTTCCAGTACTCTCCAATGTTTGTTCATTCTTCTCATGTTTTTCTCTATTTCTCGGCGTAATGTGTTCCTTGGCCTTCCTCTTTTCATTTTGCCTTGAGGGTTCCATGTGAGGGCTTGTCTCAGTTAGGTGCAGTTAGGTGCTTTTCGTAGTGTAAGTCCTATCCACTTCCACCACTTCTTCCTGATTTCCTCCTCCACTGAGGAATCTGGTTTATTCTCTCCCACAGTAGGTTGTTGCTATAAGTGTCTGGTCAGCGAATCCGAAGTATTCTGCGTAGACAACTATTAACGAACCTTTGTATCTTCTGGATGATGGCTTTCGTAGTTCTCCATGTTTCCGCTCCATACAGTAGAACCGTCTTGACATTTGTATTGAAAATCCTAATTTGGGTTTTGGTTGAAAGTTGTTTGGAGTTGCAGATATTTTTCAACTGTAGAAACGCAGCCCTTGCTTTGCCAATCCGCACCCTCACATCTGCATCGGATCCACCTTGGTTGTCGATGATGCTTCCGAGATATGTAAAGTTGTTAACGTCCTCCAAGGCATCTCCATGAAGAGTGATTCGGTCGGCCCATGTTGTGTTGTATCGGAGAATCTTGCTTTTCCCTTTATGTATGTTGAGAACTGCTGCTGCTACACTGGTCATCTTCTCTTGCATTTATTGTTGCGTGTGCGATATAGAACACACACAATAGTTACTTATTTGTATATCGATTGGATTTAGAAATACCCAACTTATTTTTGACTTATTTATAGAATATTTATATTTTACTGATACGGCTAATTGCTTCTTTTCGAAAATTTAGATTCTATATTCTTAAACATGTCATTAATACCATGAAATGATATGTTTTTATTCACTAACATGAATTATTGTGTTAAAAATTTGTGAAAAATTCAAATCATAAGATGGCGGGAACTCGACAGTGAACAAACAAATGATGTTCTAGAACCATCGGCCATACAAATTTGATCAGTGGAAAGTTTTTAGTCTCTCAGATACTGAAAATTCATTCACTTAGCATTTCAAAGATCCCTTCATATAATTTAATTTATAAGTCATTCATTCCATTTATTGATTTGTTCAAAATCATGAATTACTGAGTGGCATTAGGTATTTAAGAAAATCGTTAATTTCAAATGAAAAGTGAAGATATGTAGCTTTTTGATTTCAACCTAGAATTCTGTTAGTCAATTTACTATACATTTTTGAAACCATGAATAGATCAATGTTAGACCACCAATAGAAACTTGGAAGCACTGAACGGCTGTCTCGTCCTGGTATGGGACTCACCAGCATTGCGCACCCACGATTCCTGCAACCCGCAGGATTCGAACCCGGGACCTTCGCCATTGTGCGCGAAAGCCTAACGTCTGGATCATTGAACCGGTATATAACGGTGTTCATGTAACTTAACAATCTTCATAACCCCGTAATGCAAGTTAATTTATTCTGGAATATACAATTAGTTGGTGGATTATGAAACAGGCAAGATTTATGGAGTTATTAATCTTGAACTACTGAATGAATGCCATAACTTTATTGCAATGAAGAACTTATCAATGTTTGGCCACTATTGAATATCTGAGAGTACTGGACGACCATTTCCTCCTACTATGGGATTGTTCAGCAACGCACATTCACAATCATGCACGTGGGACTCGAACTTAGAGCTTTCAATCTCGCTGTTGACTAACTTCATGAGAGAGTAAGAAGCTGTGGCCAGTAGAGTTCAACTGTGAAGCAGTCGAACACCGAAGATAATCAATCGGTGATGGTTGCGAGATATCGTGAAATTCGGCATTAACACCTTCGAAGATTAGGCGCGCGAGATAAAATATTTTTAATGGTGGTCAGATATTGATTGGTTTACGATTTCAACGAAACTCAATATTCTCCATCGTCTTCATACTGATCGTAATTTTTTTAGTCTTAAAACTGATTAGATAGCTTTTAGTCAACATTAATTTCAAAACTAGAAAATCTCACATTGTTTACACCTTATTAACTCAATAATTATTACATGTACAATCGAAAAAATACAGTCAGTAAAACAAATAATTTATGCGCCACTTTTTAAATCTACAAAAACTTATTCTCTTAATCAACTCAACAAAAAGTGAATTACCTTTAGTTTTCAACTTATGATATTCATCACGATACATTCTAGCTTTATTTTCAGCATGTTTTAATGCACACAATAAGAGACGATTTTCAGCTTTTGAACGTGTTGTCAATTTGTGTATATCTTGATTACGTTGTCTAGCTATTATGGTACGTTTATTACGTTCAAATTCAACTTCCATTTTTAAACGTTCTAATATTTCTTTAACACTTGTCATAGAAAATGAACCAATGCTTGTATCGTACATTGTGGATTTCGGTGTTAATTGTGTTGTATCATTTGGTTGTTGATTTAGAAGAAATGGTGCTGAATGTATGGAAAATGTTGGTGAATTACTATTATGATTATTATGAGTATTGTGATTATTATTATTATTATTATTACTATTACTACATGGAGAATTTGGCGTTTTTTTGAATTCCGTTAATTTGTCAATATTGTTATCATGATGTGTTTTTTGTTGTGTTGAACGAATTGACGCAGAATCGGATCTTTTCATTTTCTTTTTCAATAAATTAGACAAAAAATTTAAACAAATAGATTTGTTTTCTTGTTTTGTTTGTTTTTTGTAAATTTAAAAATGCACAGACTCAACACGCCTCAATCATGTCAATGTTATTGAACATTGAACATGTCCAATTATTATTTGAATATGTGGAAATTTAAATATAATTTCGACAAAAAACAAAGCATTAAGGCATTCAGTCGTTTTTTTTTGTTCAAATGATCATTCAACAGTGTTTTCATTAATCAATTAGAAGAATTTAAAAAAAAATATATAGTCGAGTTGATTGATGAATAAACTTTTTATCTGTTCAATGATTGGTTAGAAATAATGTTAATTTTAACTTGTCAATAGAAAAAAGGTAATACACACTTATTCAAAATATATATATATAATTTAACTTATGAACTTATATTTATTTTTTCTGGTTAGCGTTTTTTATTTTCTTAGTGAGTTGATTTTCTGAGGGATAGGGTAGCTAAACCGATGCCTAACCCTCCTCCTTGGAACTGGCAGTAACTCTAGAAGGGCTTCAGGTGGAGTTTATAGACTTAATACTTAGATTGCTTACTTTATTGATTGGAATGAAGGTTTGATATTCAAGTGTCCAATTTATCAATATGAACAACTGGAAAGGAGAATTTAGGAGAGATTCCTTGTCGTCGACCTATCCTCAACGAGGGGTAACAGGTGTAAGTAAGTAAGTAAGTAAGTAAGTAAGTAAGTAAGTAAGAACAGGCATTAATTGCGACGATATACACATCATTTCATTCATGGGATTTCCAATCACTTGCTAATCAAAATAAATTCATCGCGAACTAATTAATAAATAGTGGTAAACATTTCAGATTTTGATTTTCGTCATTTTCTTAATGATTTAACTCTTGTGGTAAAATTCAAAATTATCATACTGTATGGAGTGGAAACTTGGAAAACTACGAAAGCCATCATCCAGAAGATTCCAGTATTCATTAACAGTTGTCGATGCAAAATACTTCAGATCCGTTGGCCAGACACCATCAGCAACAACCTACTGTGGGAAAGAACAAACCAGATTCCGGATGAGTAGGATATCAGAAAGAAGCACTGGAGTTGGATAGGACACACATTGCGGAAAGTATCCAACTGCTTCACAAGATAAGCTCGCATCTGGAGTCCTCAAGGTCAAAGGAAAAGAGGAAGACCAAAGAACATATTATTATGAGAATTGGAAACAGACATGAAAAGAATGAACAGCATTTGAATCAAACTTCAAAGGAAGGTCAAGAAACACATTACGCCGAGAAATAGAGAAAGATATGAAAAGAATGAACAAAAATTGGACAGAATTGGAGAGGGAAGTCCAGGACGGAGTAGGTTGGAGAATACTGGTGAGCTCAAATCTCTTAGTTCATATCATTCCTGTGACATGAATGGTAAAAAACTGATTCACAAAATAAGTGTGATATTATTTTCTCTATTTGATGATAAATAATTTTGTAAATACACTAAATTGACTACTGAAATCATGAACCATTCATTGTTACTGATGATATTTTCTATCTCAAGTCACGTCGAATTTCACATTTTAGGTGTGAGTTGTGATTCTTTTTTAATGAAAAGTATAGTCACAGTGTTGTGCGAGCTACTTATAAGTAGTATATGACGTGAGTGTAAACGTAATATCTGGCAGCAGAAGATGGGGGAAGATCAAGAAAGGAAGAGTTAGAAAACAATGGAATTTGTAGGAAACGCATGAATAGTGAGTGACAATCGATTGATGTTTTGCAACAGGAATAGTCCAGTTCGATATGATGAACTGATATTTTGCAAATTAACGATTTACGATATGGTTTTCCGATTTTACTGAGTAACTCTGTAATTTTCGTTAAATACAATTCGGTTGCCCCACCTGTGTTCTCGTTCACTACAACAGAACCCCATCTTAGGATCTAGTCACTTGCGTATCAGGTTAGCTTATATGAAAAGATATGTGCGCATCCTGAAAATACTATATGTGAACCAAGTCCTGATTAGTTTTTTACAGTTGAACTTATTCGCTACCCTTAACAGTGGGATTATTATTTAAGTAGGAAACTATCTACACAATACTTTATATTAATCTTTTTACCCAACTAGACACTGACAGTCTCTAAGACATTCAAAACGTATTCATAGTGTAGTGAACGAAAACACAGGTGGGGCAACCGAATAATATTTAGCGAAAATTACAGAGTTACTCAGTAAAATAGGAAAACCATATCGTAAATCGTTAATTTGCAAAATATCAGTTCATCCTATCGAACTAGACTGTTCCTGTTGCAAAACATCAATCCATTGTCACTATTCATGCGTTTCATACAAATTCCATTGTGTTCTTCTAACTCTTCCTATCTTGATCTCTCCCCATCTTCCGCTGCCAGACGTTACGTTGACACTCACGTCATATACTACTACTTATAAGTAGCTCACACCACAATAGTTCTCTACATAATTGACAAACGCCTTCACTAGCAAGTTCAATTCATGGAATAGTCTCTGGAGAAAATCGTAAGCCACGTTTTAAATAGTATTCCATTTTGAACGACTTCAAAAGAGACTCACTGTTCAGTGTCCTATGTAATATCGAACTAGCCGGAACAATATTTTGATAATAAAACGGAAATTAACGTCTTTGACTACAAAAGGTTATCTTACTGTGTCAGGACTAAAAGGACAAGAGATGTACTTCATAAGCATATCAAGTTTTTCTACTAAAATAAGTTTGCAAGTATGGCACATCATCTCACAGAATTCCTCGATCTAGCAGATGAATTACTCTTAAATACAGCTAAGTCCACTGAAAGTTTGAACCTGATAGTTGAAAAAACTATCATCGATGAACTTCATTTCGAAATTGTTTTCCTTTTATTTCAAATGATTGTTAATACTGGTGAACACTCAAAATTGAAAAGAATTTATATTAAGTTACATTTTCATATGTATACCAAAAGTTTTTTCTAAGTAGTATGCATTTAATAATTATACATGTGTTGGGGATGTTAGATCCTCAGAACTCGCTTGATAAATATCTTTATTTTGGATTTATTTCATGGACCGATCAGTTGACCTTGAGATCACATTTCTCACCAGGAAAATCCCTGGTTATGATTCGTTACTGTGTCATTTTAGTGTGCTATTTTGTGACTGTTCCAAGGAGGTCTCTATGGCGTATAAATAAACGCAATTTGAGTGCATGGATTCATTGTGTGCTGACTCGATGTTTGTAGAATACAATTTCTACACTGTATCAAGACTTCTTGCTAATATAATTTGGTCGAAGGATCACAGTATCCTACGTGGATGCTGGTTCATTATTTCAATCCGGCATCAGTTGATATGAAGTTCATTTGGCAGCATATTATAACTGCTGAGCGAAGTAGACTTTAACTTATTCAAGACTCTCTGACAATAAGCAAGCATTTAGTTCACACTATCTGAATATTTCATGCTATCTTAAATTTATTTGCTCCGAAATACAAGAAAAATTTAGGAGTAACCGTCATTAATTTACTTACAATCGATCTTGAGTTTCCGACTATTTATTTCTAAGTGATAAGCAGAAAATAATTACTTTAATTATTGTATTATCATGCAAGATTGTCTGTCCAGTGACATTAATTTAATAAAGATTGGATTCAGATGTGTACGTATGAAAATTAGATTTCATCATCTGTCTCTCTATAAATGTTACACTGAAACTTCCCTGATACACTTCAAATACAGATCTACTAACCTATTTCTTCTGAAAGTATGTTGAAGAAATGAAATAGGAATTTTCAAGCGCAGTGCCGATTACCATAGCCGTCCACCATTTGTAATTAAGGCAGAATTGTTAAATCAGCGTTTTGTTAGGATAATGTGATTGCTGGGTGTTTGTAAAATATACTTTCTACGCTTACAAAGCCTTTTCTCTTCAGTTTGAGATTCAAGGTAGCCTACCTGGACGCTGGTAATTGTCTCGTTCACGTTTATCGACTAAGGTGAACTCGTAATAGCTTCAAGCGTACGTAGTGACGAACTTAATATTTGGCGACGGGGATGGGATCACACTGATCCTTTGAGACTTGAATTATTACCCGAGCGGCAGCTGAACTAATGAAAATGTTGATGGATACTAAGCTGCATCGTGACACGACTATGGTGGATCATGTCAATCTGACGTTGTGCATTGTATCTGTCAACTAACCAGAGTAGCTGTGCTCCCTGCTACATCCAGTCCACCTCATTTCAGCTCAATCCGATAGCCGATCTAAAACCAATCTATTAGACTGGTTCAAACAGCTAACATTAGCGGATATCCAATCAAGCATAAAACAAGAAGCCAACCCGCTCAGAAGTACCGAAGTCTGGTCCTCATCTCCGTCCCAGAAATATCCTCCCTGACAGCAACAACAACAGTCCAGATCAAATTAAACCGTCGTGTGTCGCTCCAATCTCTTCAGAGGGAGGTGTTAGGATATTCAGGTGGTGTTTCGTTCTGTGAGCTGGTTGTTTTGGTTGTGGAGATTAATTGTTCTTCTGAACAACATCATCAGCACAAACTTTAGATAGAAGTGAAATATTCGAATTTCTCCACGTTTGACCTGTAGCTCGTTCTACTAACCTCGATCTTAAGTGGTTGCTGTTGACCTTTGTCTCGTCGTTGTTTGCGACTTTGTTTTGATTGCACCCCCCTTTTGATCTGTTTCTTGATCCCGTGTCACCCATGATTTTTCTGATTGGCTGATAAATTGGGTCAATGTCGATGTGTTTGTTAATTGCTGATTGACTTGAGTGCCAAGCTTCTAAAAATTCTCTAGTGTTCTTTGTCCTTTGGTCTACATAGGATTGATTGAAGTGATTCTGTTGGTTTGTGTGCCACACCTATTCCAAATGGTTTCAGTAGTCGTGCTGTATGCTCCGATACGTCTTTGATGTATGGTAGGATGATGCGTTTATTTGTTCCTGTGCTTGCTTTCACTTCTGATGATGGT